GGGGAGGGGGAGCCTGATTTCATGGTTTTAAAACGATGCCATGATCTGATCAGCCTCTGTTTACACAGCAGCAATCAGGCTCTTTTGTGGACGGTAAGAATGGAAGGATTTTGCTGGGATTCAGTGGGAATATCCTTTGTACACCCGAGGTGGCATAGGAAACACTTCGTGTGAATAACGAAGGAGCCTGATCGTGCCTGCTGTGGCTCCTGTCCCTGGCTCTGGAGGGGGATTAAAAAAAAAACCAAAACAAAAAAAAAACCCAGCAGCAGCAGACAGTTCTTTAATTTACTTTAATTTTTTGTTTGCATGAAATGCGTTCCGGTTCGATTCACCGGGAGGAATAGTGGGGATCACGGAACCCTACTTAGCAAAAAAAAATAAAAAATCAATTTATTATATGTTTATTAAGCATATCCAAAACTAGCCCTCCCGAAAGGATGGGCATTATATCTTGGATGTGTTGCCTATTTTTGTTCAGTATTTACACTGACCGCTGCTTATTATGAATTATGTTGAGGCTTTAAAGATTTGCATTAAAGCCAGAGGGGGGGGAGACCCTAAAGCATAGTGCTGTCGACTGCCTGGCATACCTGTTTATTTGAAAGCCTAAATGATGAAATTATGGTTTATAAGAGGAAGGGAGGGGGATAATGAATACTGTTTCTCTTAAAATGTGCATGAACTAACACAGTGAGATTAATGTGCTTTGGTGACTTGGGTTAAAAAACATAAATTCTGCAGGGTTTCTTTGGGTGTGATCCGTATCAGCACAGCAGCTGCCTCTAAAACATTGACAAATACTGTAGCCATAAAATAAATATAGGTAATGTTAAAATATCAGCAGTCTTTGGGGATTTTTTTCAAATATGTCAGTGATTAACTCCTGGGCTGGCAAACTGGGAATCTTTTGATTCATAAAATCTCTGAGGCTTTAGCTGTAAAATTATATATGCTACCAGATAGAAGGGGCACCGGTCAGTTCTGAAACTGTAACAGCCAAATCTGTGAAATGCCCATACTCAATCATGCTAAAGAGTAAGTATGAAAAAAAAGCCTCATGATTTTTAAAAACAAACAATAGTACTCAAATTTACAACTTCATTTGGTTCTCCATAAATTAACATCTTTGTTAGCACTTTCTGACATCATTTCTTGTTAACTTAAGAACTGATAGCTCGATTTTTTTTCAGATATTTTGATGGCATGACAAATCAGAAAGAAGAGGATGTACTGTATGACTAGACACAAGATCAGTTCTGTTTGTGGATTACATTTTCAGTAAGATGTATGGATCTATTTTTTCCTTGTTCTTATATATAGATCATGAGACTTGACTGAGGCAATATACATATCATCCATCCATCTATGGCGAACTACAGCCATGCAGCTGACAACATTTTACAAAATCTCTCTCCTTTAACAGCTTTTCTGAAACTGACTTCACTGGGTTTCATAATAGGAGTCAGTGTGGTGGGTAACCTTCTGATCTCCATTTTGCTAGTCAAAGATAAGACCTTGCATAGAGCTCCTTACTACTTCCTGTTGGATCTTTGCTGCTCAGATATCCTCAGATCTGCAATTTGTTTCCCATTTGTTTTCACCTCTGTAAAAAATGGCTCTACGTGGACGTATGGGACTCTTACTTGCAAAGTGATTGCCTTTTTGGGGGTTTTGTCCTGCTTTCACACTGCTTTCATGTTATTCTGCATAAGCGTCACCAGATACTTAGCTATTGCCCACCACCGTTTTTATACGAAAAGACTGACCTTCTGGACTTGTTTGGCTGTTATCTGTATGGTGTGGACCCTCTCTGTAGCCATGGCTTTCCCCCCAGTTTTAGATGTGGGCACCTACTCGTTCATTAGGGAGGAAGACCAATGCACTTTCCAGCATCGTTCCTTCAGGGCTAATGATTCCTTGGGATTTATGCTTCTTCTTGCCCTTATCCTCCTAGCCACACAGCTTGTCTACCTCAAGCTGATATTTTTTGTTCACGACCGCAGGAAAATGAAGCCAGTCCAGTTTGTTGCAGCGGTGAGCCAGAACTGGACTTTTCACGGTCCTGGAGCGAGTGGTCAAGCAGCTGCTAATTGGCTGGCTGGATTTGGAAGGGGTCCGACACCTCCAACCTTGTTGGGAATCAGGCAAAATGCGAACACCACAGGCAGGAGAAGGCTACTGGTTTTAGATGAGTTCAAAATGGAGAAGAGAATCAGCAGAATGTTCTACATCATGACATTCCTCTTCCTGACCTTGTGGGGTCCCTATTTGGTAGCCTGTTACTGGAGGGTTTTCGCAAGAGGGCCTGTAGTACCAGGGGGATTTCTAACGGCTGCTGTCTGGATGAGTTTTGCCCAAGCTGGAATCAATCCTTTTGTCTGCATTTTCTCCAACAGGGAGCTGAGGCGCTGTTTCAGCACAACCCTTCTTTACTGCAGAAAATCCAGGTTACCAAGGGAACCTTACTGTGTTATATGAGGGAGCATCTGTAAATCTTTAGCCTTGTGAAACACTACCATTCTCTGCTAAGCAATTGTGGCCTGTAGCCATGTCTTGAGGAGAAAATCAAGAATGGGATGTCAGCAGTTGTAAGGATTTGGGCAACATTCTGCAATCTTTGCAATAGCTCACCTCTAATCCTATTTTAAACCTAAATCTGACCACTGCTGAAGGTTTGTAATTAAGAACAAAGGACTGAACTACTGCCCTGAATTCCTTTATGTGGTTGAAATCTAGAATATGAAAGTAGCAGGTGCTAAGTATCAGTGCTAAATGCTGTGTATATCACTACATAAAATAAGACCATCAAAAAGATTAGCATTGGACATCTTAATAAATTAAGTTGATATGAGGTTAATGTGTTGATAAAACTAATTTTAGACATCTGAAGACCTTTAAAACATTTCATACAATTATTGTTTTGCAAAGACTGAAAACTGGGGACTCAAGTACTGTAACTGATTAAAGATGTGCCATGCATTATTGGATTATCACACTTACAAATCTGTTTGCCTTGTGAGTAAGTTTTGGGGAGCATTCCAAAGCAGTATTTTTGTTCAGATTTAGACTTTACTTTTTTTTTCTTTTTCTTTTTTTTTTTCCAAATATACCATTTTCCTTAACAGTGAAATTACTAACATTTAACTGTATTCTGTGGTTTTTGCTGATTTGATATAAAGTTTAATAGACTCTTATTTATATTTTTTAAAAAGCTAGATATCAGTCTGTTAGGCAACGTTAATAATAATATCCAGTCATAATTGAACAGTTATAATTATACGGAATAAACACATGTTGCCTTAAAAGGGTTATCTAGTATCTTCCATTTTGTTTAGCATTGAAGCAAACAAGCAAGGAAAATTGAATCAATAACTCTGGTCAGTCATTTGGGAGTGCATGAAAGATCACTTAGTTCTCTTTTTTCCTTTTTACTCCAGTGGTTCCCAAAATCAGTATGCACATCACTGGGATGATATAATTTTTTTCTAGGTGTGCCGCCCTTTCTAGTTTGTTCTGAGAAACACAGGCAGTTGATGTATGTTTATATTTTAAGACAGCTGTCATGGGGAGACCGCAGCCTTAGTATGATATCTTGCACAATTTGTGAAGCATTTATTCTACTGAAGGCACAGTCTTGTTTATATTTTCTGCACATTTTGGTGTATTGGTTGTTTTAAATTATTTAAGTTTTAACTTGTGAAAGCATATAATATGATTTCTTAGTATTTTAGAAATACATTAGAGTCTGTGAGTCTTTCCTTCTTTAAGATACAGATGTGTGGATTTCAATATAAAGTTGCATTTGCCAAAATTTACCTGTGTAGCTTGTTAATTTTCTTGGAATAAAATTTTACATTTTTCCAGTTATACAATTAACCTTTTTTATTTTGTCTAGTGAGCTAGCATGAAGTACTGAGAATGTAGCCATTATGAATTATTATCCTTTGCAGTCACTGTATTCCCAAACTGTAAATGCATGAATGATGGGGACCACAGGATTGATAAATGATATTATCTACAGTAGCACTATTGTGTAGTTTATCATAATTACCCATCTATCTGTTCTACTGTGTCAGTTATATTTAAAGTTACAACACAGTATTTGACATTAACTTCGCAGTTTAATTTTGGAAAACGTGTGTATTCAAAGCACAACATCATGAGTTGGTCAATCATAAAGAACACAGATTTTTCTTAATTTCTGGAGAGAGAAGACTAGAGGTCTTAATTCAGTATTGGTATATTTTGTCCTTTGTTGTAGTTTTATGACCAGCAAGTTAATATATACATACACAAGCAGCAGTCAATAATGGAAATGCTTAAATTTGTATGATAACATTATACAACATATGCAACAATTCAGAGAGTTGTGTCTGTATGTGATCAGACAACTTGGTCAAAGATTTAGTGAGCGATCTGTTTGACCTCACTTACACTTCTATACTGAGGTTGTTTGGTTGAGAGGCATGGCTTTATATACTGTGTTGAAACAGAAAAACTGCAAAAATAATGAGTCCCCATCAGTACAAGAATGTTTCAGAAAGTAATTTGAAATGGGACCAATAAACTTCTACCAAAAGGACTTTTTTATTACACTGAAAAAGGCTTTGAAATTAAGGTAGTTAAGCAATTGTCAAAGATAGGAAGAGTGAATAAAAACCGAATCGTATGTTGAGAAAAATTCTGAAAGTTATCCCACTTAAGTTTATTAAAAGGTTGATTGGCAATAACTTCAGTCTAATTTCTATAAATAGTAACCTTTACAAGGAACATTGATATTACATATTGTAATAAAGAAATACATATAAATAAAGTTGTAAATAGTGTTATAGTTGTAGAAGTAGTCGGTTCTGAAGATTAGCCAGAACATTTTCAACTATGAAATTTCAAAAGCTGCAGATCTGGGACCTGACCTAACTCCTAATAAAGTCAGTTGGTGTTTTCCTATTAACTTCATTTGGAGCAGAAGCAGGCCCTAACATTTCTATAGTACTATGCTTCTGAAATACTAAGAAGGCTGTATTTACTATGCAGTGGGAAAAGAAAAAAAATAAAAACCATTTAAAATTATTTCCCTGGAAGTTTTGCAAGCAGTAACTGATGTAAATTAAAATAATAAACAGTAAACAAGTCTGAAAGCAAATATTTTGCTAAATGTTTTTCTTTTGATATGAATATATTTCCTTTGGCTAACTGAAAACTACACAACTGTATTACTACCCGACAGAGGAGAGGTACTTTTTTTTAGGTGAATTTTTTATAATTGTTCCAATAAGAAGTCTTGTGACCAAAATATTTCCTTTTATTTTCTCCAGTATTAAAAGAACAAGGGGACGTTCAGTGAAATTAAAAGGCAACATATGAAGTAATATTTTACGCAAAGTAATTACTCAGTGGAACTCACTGACACAGGATGTCAAGTAGTTTAGAGAGATTCTTACAAGAATTAAAGCAGTGCTTGCAGTTTTTGTCATCGGTGTCATTTTCATCCTAGTCAGCATATCAAACCTAATGCATTAGGGTATAAATTCAAAGGAGCAAGAAGGTTTGTTCCCATTCAGTACACAGTTGTGTCACAGTATGAAAAGCTTCTTGCTTTCATTTAAGTACAGGAGGTAAGCTGTTGCCAAAGCTAGAATACAGGGCTGGTAGGTTACTCTTTTCAGGACAGCAAAGAATATCACACTGTTTTCTATCTGCATCAATTTTTAATGCTCACGGATAACGTGAAATTAGTAGTTTTAATTCTCCTGATGGCAGAAGAAAAAAGAGTAAGAAGAGAGTCACTGGAGAAAAGGCTGTTGTTTTCCTGCCCTCTGTTTCCCCACTGGCCCTTTGGCAGACTCTCCATCAATTGCTCTTCAAGATTAGATGTTTCATATACTGAGTCTTATATTTCTGCCATTTCCTTAAAAAGTGTCTCAGCCAGCCCCCCTCCCCAGTAGATAAGGTCCTGCAGCAGCTTCCCAAGGTTTGTCAGTGTCTGGGTTCCCTTCCTGAAGACCACCAGTTCTTTCCAGATGCCTTTGTAGCTCATGGAGTCGTCTTTCCATGATGCTTGGCTGACGCACTGGGTATCTCTGTCTTCTGACTGTGGTCATGAAGTAGATGCTATTTAGGTTATGCAGAGAAAAATAAGAATGTGGAGGGAGCAGCAGGAAGCCTCTTCCCCTCTCCCAACTCCTTCATAAAGAAACCACTGTTACTGTTGCATTGCCCAAGAGCGTATGATGTTTTTAAAGCATATTCAGTGCTAATGACCCTCGAAATGAATAAAATGTACAGTTAGCCAATTAATGTAAAGTTTTTGGTACAGCTACAAAATATTATTATGAAATGGCTTTCCGTCAGTCTCTAGGCCTTGAAGGCAGAGAATTCCACTGTATCTATCTCCTTTTAGGTGCAATTTCTTCACTTGTACTGTATTTGCTCTGCCTTTCAAGCATGTGAACTTTTTACTTATATTAATAGGAGTCCAATATTGCAGCAAGTAATTATTACTCATGGGTTTTAAAATTAATATAAAGGGAATTCTGATGATTTTTGAGGTAAATTAGGTATTTTGACAACTTTTTTTTTCTTTTTAGCAAACGTCAAATATAACTGTGAGTTGCTGGGCTCTTTCATAGTTACACAGTCAGCTCTCTGTTATTGCGAATAGAAATGGATTAGACTAACCTGCATAAAGCTGAAACAGGTAATACAAAGCGTGTGCACATTAGATAAGAACTTCCTGCATTTATTACATTTATCGAAGAATGAAGTTAAGCTGAAGTAAAAAGTGAGATCAGAATTTCAAAGAAAAATGGTGGGTGTTCTTCCTTTTTTTCCCTGCTTTGTTTTAGCATAGCACTGCTAATCTGCAACCTGGGTTACACTCCCACAGACAACCGCGAGTTGACTGTACAATTCTGCAAAACACATAGAGAACTTCCCTCTAGTTTATATTCATTGAGAGCTGTGTAAGTTCACACTACTGGTGTGACTGACTTTTTCAGGGAAAAGAGAAGGCTCAGTCTGAGGTGTTGTTCTTCAAAACTAAAGTTCAGTATATGTTCTCTGCTTTTGTTTACTGAAGTCATTTTGAGTGTGAAGAAATCCGTGATCTATATCAGCAATTATCATAAGCATTCTCTGGCCACGACCATTAACAGCAGAACAAGATGACATTTTGCAATGCATATGCCAGCAACAAATCAAAGGCTTCGTTATTACACACCATGACTTTCCTTGAGTGGCCTGAAAATAGCTCATGCTTTATATTTGGAAGAAAATATGATTAAGCTGCCCATTTAAAAGGATAAAGTCTTTAAGTAGCCAGTGTCAAAAAAAGGGTGAATTTTAAAGATTGCTTATTATAAATAGTTAAGAGTTTTTGTGGTGTTTTTTATTTGGCTGAGCTGTGTAATTACATAAGAATATGATGATCAAAGGAGTGCCACAGTAAAAAAGTTATCAAAAACAGAATCACTGAATGGTTACATTTTTAATAGTCTAAAAAGGAAAGAAGTACAACATTCTTCAGCCATTAGAAATAAAATAATTGCAGTCATCCATATGTTTAATAAAATTTAGGCAACAAAACAATTATTGACATTTTCAGTACTTGATGAGTTAAAAGAACGATGTCTTTAGACAGTGAGCTGGCTGGTGCAGCCCAGTGAGAGACCTATTCTTCGCATCACAGTTTTTGTACTCTGTTTTGTATTTAATAAGCACAAAAGATATAAGACCAGAATTCATCTGATACAATCTTCCACAAACTCTGCATTAGCTACAACAAAACTTCTCCAAATATTAGGCATATTACTGTCTCCAGAGATTATTCAAAATGATCCCTGTGCTAATTCACGAAAAGTCACTTCACCTTTGTTAAAGAGCCATCTAGTTAACGGTATGTATTTTTGTCATCCTTTCACTGGTTGGCTAAGACAAGTTCTCCTGAAATGTGGAGCTAAAAATCCCAAATACAGAAGTATTCATTTGAATTTCAGTTATTATGCTACCTATATGTGTCATTGTTGTAGTCACATTTTAAGTAGACCCAGAAAGTTTATGGTTGAAGAATGTAAATAATCACTTATGATCCCCCCAAAAAAACCAAAACCAAACCCAAAAAACAATCACATTCTTCCAGTTTATTCTTTCTCTTATTTCCGTGGAATGTTAAAGTTTAAATTTTAGGAATGCAAAGGCAAACTCTTAAAAAGAAATATGTTGGAGGGGTGAGAAAGAATAACTAGAAATACAGCTGTTAAGGTTATCTTTGCAGTGAAGGTTATCATATATGCATTGCATTTTCTGCATGGTTATAATATATGAGCTTGCCTGCTTTTTGCCAGTGTGTATATGCAATACAGATAAAATTCTCATGCCACCATTAACTACAGCAGTCCCTGAGTCCTGTTATTTTCATTCTATAACCATCAAGCTCAGGCATGCTAACGTCCTTATGCAAATTGAAGAAACTGCTAAGAATAAAAGGTTTTGCATTTAATAATCTTGGTGGATCAGGTCCTTGAGGTAGTTGAAGAGAGTGGCACAGATACTTGATTTCTACTCTAGGCAGCAGGTTGGAAGATACAACAAAGTTTTCACCCCTGTTTATGAGCCAGTTAAAATCCCACTGTTGTCCTGTAGCGAAACCATCTCCCATAGAACTGGCCCACCACAGGCCTGCAACCCAGTTCCTGCTCCGGCAGGGGGATTGGACTAGGTGATCTTTTGAGGTCCCTTCCAATCCCTAACGTTCTGTGATTCTGTGACTTTGGTTGTGCATACTCCGAGTACTAATGGGTGAAGTTCAGCAGTGAGCAGAGATACGAGGTGCCTAGACAACATTTGTAGGCTTCAGACAGGTTATAT